TAAAAACAACATCATCATTTTTATTCAATAGGATAAACATTCGGACTTCGATCGACATATAATTAAATCTAATCCAACCTTACCAACAACAAAAACTGATTTATTGGATACAGCTGATGAAAATGTTACAATAAAAAATTCACGTATTCGTATTCAACTGCCTAAACTTGATACATTAGATAGTAGTGGTCTTGTTTCTCAAACACATAATAATCATCAACCTTCACATTATTTTCTTACGGATGCAGAACTCGGTGGTAAAAGAAAATCGAAAAGAAAAAGCCTTTTTTTTTGTTAATAGAATTTTTCTCTTTCTAGAAAGTGTTGTCTATTCAGATTATCTTACGGGAAAGACAATGACAGATTTTATTGGTGTTAATGCTCTTGAAAAAAATATTATTGAAGCAATTATGAATTTTAGTTATAATTTAACATTAGGAGATCTTGACGCTGCATTTAAAGCAATAAAAATTATTAAAAAGTAAAGAAATTCTTTTATGGAATAAAAATTTGGTTTTTATTCTATTCAATTATTTAGAGAAAGTGTGTGGGAAAATTTAGCTCGTATGTGTGTGTTAAATCGACGTGCTGATGTAGCAAAAATTTGTCTTGGTAAAATGGGTCTATTTCGTGCTGCACGAGCTTTACGTGCTGTTGATCAAGATAATCCCGATACTAAAATAGCTATTTTAGCTATACATTTAAATATGAGAGTATGTTTAACAGAAAATTTTATTAAATAATATACTATTTGTCTTTCAAAAAAAAAAACAAAGGAAGAAGCAGAAAAGATTTTACTTCAATCAAAACAATATGATCTTCTTAATCAATTATATCAATCAACAAATGAATGGGAAAAAGCTATTGATATATCAACACATTATGATCGAATACATTTACGTAATACATATTATAATTATGCTAAATATCTTGAACAAAATAATCAATTAGAAAAAGCAATTGAATTGTAAATATAAGAATATTTAACGGTTTTTTTTACACTTTGAAAAATGGTTCGTTTTTTTTCTTCAAATAGCTTTGAAAAATCAGGAACACAAGCAACTGAAGTACGACGAATGTTTCTTGAACGAAAAGATATTGCAGGATATAAAGCATATACAGCAAAACAAAATGATCCGTAAATTATTTTATTTTTAATTCAATTCTATTTAAATAAATATTTTAATTAGAAAATTATTTCGTTGGTGGGGTCGTTATTTTGAAAGTCGAGGTAAAATGGAAGATGCACTTGGATGTTATCGAAAAGCAGATGATAATTTATCATTATGCCGATTACTTTGTGAACAAGATCAACCTACTAAGGTATAAATCGTGTCATATTTGATTAAAATTATTTTCAATTGATAAAAATTTACTTCAGGCTATTGAATTATGCTCAGATACAGGAAATAAAGCTGCTTGTTATCATATGGCACGATATTTTGAAAAGAAAGGCGATTATAAACAAGCAATATCTTATTTTCAACAAGCATCAGCTATTAGCAATGCAATGCGTCTTTGTCGGGTATGATATTTTCAATTTTTATTTTATTCAGCATTGTATTACTAATATCATGAAAAGAGAATAGCAATAATATGCAATATTGTAACAACTTAGTATCTTTATCAAATAATAGAATATTCAGAATGTATCTTTGCAATGAAAACATAATTATAAGATATGACTTAATAAAATGAAAATCATGAAAGTTTGGCAAACTGCATTTCGTGTCAATCTATTGTTTAGGTAGTATAACTTTCGGTAATTAATCATTTTAATGATGTGACTATCGGCAATGTCTGTTTTTGATCATCTCATTCTTCTATGATATCATTTTCAACGATAAGATTCAAAACTATTTATTGTATTTATTTGTATAGGATCATCATTTGGATGAATATTTGGCTAATATAGCTGTACAAGGTTCACCTGATGATATGCTTGAAGCAGCACGATACTTTCAAACTTTACCATTGCAAGAAGATCGTGCTATTTTACTGTATCATAAAGTATATTTTTCGAAGGCGAAAAAAATTGAATAATGTAAAATAATTGTATAATTAAGGCTGGCTTAACTTCGAAAGCAATTGATTTAGCATTTAAACATGAACGATATTCAGCATTAGCACAAATTGCTGATAGGTATGCCATATGAAAGGACTAAATTCTATAAGAATGAGTTGATTTTTATTGAATTAGCGTTGGTAAGAATGTTGATCCAACACAAGTTACTCGAATGGCTGATTATTTTATGCAATTAAAACAATTTGATAAAGCTGTTGATTTACTTGCTGCTATTGATAGAGTTTGTTGTTTTTTTTTTATCTTAATATTTTTCTTTTTGTTATATCTTATTAATAATTAAAATGAATAGGTTGATGAAGCAGCAGATTTAGCTATTCGAAATGAAATTCCATTGACTGAAGAATTACTTGAACGATTAAGTCCTGCTAAACGTAAGTCGTTATTTTTCATAAAATCTTATACATTTAATATTTAATATATGTATATGTATTTGTCTAGCTACTAATGAAGAAGATATGCCTAAATATCAAGCTATTTGTGAGAAATTAGGTGATCTAGCTGTTAGTCAAGGAGCATATGCTGGTGCAGCAAAGAAGTATCTCGATGCTGGCAATAAGATTAAAGTATGTTATTGTTCTTTGATAATCTTCAAAAAAACAAATTTCCATGATCTTTTCTATTTTAGTCAATGCGTGCATTGATACATTCTGGTGATGTTGAACGTATAACTATGTTTGCAAATGTAGCACGTAATCGTGAAGTTTATTTACTTGCTGCTGATTATTTGAAATCATTGGATTGGAAAAAATATCCAGATGCATTACAAAATATAATGAATTTCTATAAAAAAGCAAGAGCATATGAAAAACTTGCTCAATTCTATGATATGTGTGCACAAGTATGATTTGAAATTTTTGTAAAATAAAAAATTTATAATATATTGTATTTGGTTTTCATTAGATTGAAATAGAAGAATATCGAGATTATAATAAAGCATTAGGTAAGTCAAAAAAAAATGTAATGTTTTGTTTTATTTATAACATGTATTTGTTTATTCATCTAGAGGCATTAATGGAAGCATATAAAACATTAAGAGATAATGGAGAAAATACATTTTCAAAAGATGAAACATTACAAGAACTTGAACTCAAATGTCGAAATATAAAACGATATATTGATGCTAGAGAGTAAGAAAATTAATGTAACTTATAACAATGATTAAGAGGAACTACTGGGATTTATTTCAATCATTGTAGTTATCTATTGATATGTGTATAAAAGACATTTTTAACTATACCAAAAGAGAGTCGCAGTTCTTTAAGATCTGTTGTCATCTCCAGGTAGGTACTTTTCTTCAGTTCAATTTCTTTGATGCGTATAAAGGGATTGATAGAAAAATATCGAAAAAATAAATTCCAAACGTTCTTAGTGGTTGAATATTTCATCTTTATTATTATATCATAAAAAACTAATATATTTGATCGTGTTATTTTTTTAGTCGATACTTAACTGATCCTGAAACAGGTTCTCGTGAATTGGCTAGTTTATTAACAGATCAAAAAATATTTATCGGTGTTCATCCAGGTGATCTATATGGGACGTTAATTGATCATTTCGGACGACAAGAAAAATATAAACAAGTAGAACTAAATATTAAAATTTTTTAATGAACTATTTCATTTTCTTTTTCAAACAGGCTGGAATGTTACTCGATGAATTACAAGAACATATTCCTGAACGTTATTTTTCTCATTATATTAATCCAAATTTACTTTCGGCTATTTATGCTGCAACTGGACGTAAAATGGCTCCACCAGATCAACCATCAGAGAGTATGACATATAATCATGATGAAAATGAAGAAAAACTAGTAAATGATGATTATCCAAAAGATCGACGACAACAAGGACACTTAGGAAAAAGTCATATTTATGCTGAAGAAATTGATGACAATATTGATTATGGATCTGTTGATGACTGAAAACAGCATTTTTTTGTACAGTATTTTGTTTTTGTATGGGAAAAAAATGAGCCTTTTTAAAAAAGAAAATCTTCTACACTGCTTGTTACTTTGCGAAAAATAAAATGATTTTGATCAAGTGACACTTTTTGTTTTTTTTTGAGTCATTATTCTCTTGACTGAAGGGAAGGCCATACGAAATAACATAAACTTGTGTGTTTGCTTGCACGTGGATAGTTGCGTGTTTAAATGTATTTGAATTGATGGCTTTTTGGTTCAGTAACACGCTCCAATTAGATTTCTATTTAATGTTTGCCTCTCGTCCAATCAGGTTTTTTGAAGCTGAGATTTCACTCAATCAGATACTTTCGCTGTTTGACTCTCTTCCAGTCAGATTTTTCCAGCTTCGGGTTTCAAGCAGTCTCCTGTTTTCGATCTTTGGTTTCGTCTAATCACTATTTCTTCGTAGGTTTTCAGCGATTCACATATATCTCACGCATAGCATGGGTATGTCGGTGTGAGTGTCACTATCTGAATCTTCTCCAGATTCACTCCTACTCCTACATAAGAAATGTGCACGGCGACTGAAAAAGGAGGCACGAAACGGTCGCTCCGAACTAACTAGAGGATCTTTTCACCGTTTTTTTTTCATGGGTTTATTGCACCAATGTTTCTGAATAAATAGTACCTCATTTATTAACACTTAAGTATGACACAGCAGCATAGCATTAATAGAAGTATAAAAGTATGTGTATTTAACAAAATTTAGAAGGATAAACATACATTGACATGGTACCGAGTTCGCGTCAATACATTCGCACAATAAGTAGAGACCAAAGAAGGAGATATACGACAGTGGCAAAGTAGACGGCGGAAATTCTACCTGAACAAAATGACACACTATACTAGAGAAACCAAGAGTCGTAGTGGCCAATGTATCCACTATGTATAACGACATGGATATAGCTATGATTGGGGAGGAGAGGCTTATAGCGAATAGAAAAAAGTACAGCTATTAACTTAATATTTTGTGTATAGATAGCTGGCACTTCATACTGATTATTTGTGCTTTCGAAAACTGCGAATTAGCACAATATAAAGTAGTTGTTCCATTATAATGCTTTTTAGTAAAAATGAGACAACAATTTTTTTTTCATATACTTCATACAGTTACGTATTAACTATGTATTATATAAATCTGCCATGAATTAATTACTCTTCAAAGGTCTAAAGCAGGTTATCATTAATAAGTTGTCTCCAACTTTTGGATTCTTGCAGACAAAAATTAATAATATTGCAAATTAGTACCTCATTTTATAATCTGCATTCAATATCTATCTTAACGAGCGAATTACCAAAGTGTAAAATCTTAAGCCTCCTAGGGAAAAGTTTATTGTTTGGTTATAATGAAGAACACACATAAGTATATCTCAAACATTTTTAGCAGAATTATGTGTTTTTAGCAGTTTATTACTGGAAAAAACTCTCTTGATAGTAAATTATATAAAACTTAGTAAGTATGCCATACACACAATTGAGAAGAACGAAACTTTTACATATAAGAGGGACAAATTACTAAATATTTGATAATCTAAAATTTTTAGAAAGCCGTATAATCTATAATGAGGATTGATTGGATAATTGCTTTTTTTTCGGTAATACCGGTTGTTTATGATCTGATTGGCCAACATTAGTCACAAATAATATTCAAGCTCAATTAACTGTTCTAACTAGATGAATGCTTATATAGAAGACATAGTTCTTTTTTTTACTTTCTTATTTATGCATCAGATAATATTTTGAAACTGTATGGATGAGGATGGAAAGAGTACTCGAACTCGGGTCCACAAATATTACAGTAAATTCACCAAATTCAAATGTTCAGATTCGATGCAAGTCCAGTTGTGATATGTAAGTGAGCTCGTTGATGCTATGAAGTTTATCACAAAAAACGAAATGACAAAAACACTTCTGGCCAGTTTATAGTATTTCGCGAGTTTCAACAATGTCTCTCTGGTATGTTGTAGAAAATGTTAATAGGTGCTATGAAAAGATTGAAACCGTTCTGTAATATGTTCCGAAACATATTACAATAAGTTTCTGAATTTTTCATATTTTTTGAACTTCTTTGTTAGCTCTTACTACGAAAATTATTCACCTCCACGAATATTAGTCTATATCAGACAAGAATTAGAAAGATCATGCAACTCGGCGTATTTTTACGAACGGAAAAATTATAAAAATGCGGAACAAAACATTTTAAACTCTTGAACAAAAGTCTTTTTCCTTTTTGTCTTTCCTCATGTATCTTGTTTTGCTATGCTTGCTTGTATGGTTATCTACACTTGTAAAGTCATGTATACACATATATTTGTGAGAGTCTTGAGCAGTTATCTGAAACGAGGTTTTTTCATGTTGGCATTTCAATCAATCACATGATTTTGTTATCGACGTGCTATCCAATCAGGTGCTTTTGCTATCGAGCTCTTGAGTAATTCTTTTTTGTTCTGTGATAGGAATTCCAATCTATCAGGTGTTTTTTATTTCTAACTTTCAGCCAATCAATGTTTTCAGACTGGCAGTTATGCCAATCATAGGTGGGAATGGGTGTGAATATTGACGCGTGAACTGAATGTTGGCTCGGTGTATGTGTGAGGTGTAGGAACGGATATGACTTTTGGTATGCGTGTGGAAGTGAGCTTAGATATGGAGTGTATGTACTCGCGTGGCGTAGGTGCGGGTTTTGGGTGTCATGAGGAGGTCGATTATTCGTGCCAGATTTGTGTGTGTGCGCATACCAGTTTGAATATGTAAGTATTGTTGTCGGATGTGAATGTGGTTGGAAATGGGGTGGTGTTGGGCATGAGAATAAAGTAATGGGCTGTGTTAGTAGGATGTGTGAGTATGGTGGTGGGTGAATATGGATGGGGTTGTAGGTGTGTGAGTCTAAGTGTGATTATTTCAATAGCAGAGAGAAGAAGCACATTGCACGCACATTAATACCTACGTTGACATTTTCACTGGCACCAGCACATGTATGAACTGTGATCAACAAATCTTAAAATCGACTTATGTATTCAAATGTTACCAAAAATAACGTTCTCGATAGAATTAATTCATTATGAAAGTGTCTGATCTTCTCATATCATATAAACAAATATCTTTGAAAAACAAAAACAAATAAAATATTGATTATGAAAAAAAGAGGAGGCTACTTTTTTAACCTAATCTTGAACTGTCTTGTCAATCAATTGATACAAGTGAACATACATTAATAAAAGAATCATTAAATGAATTTGATAATAATAATATTGTTCAAAGATGAACTGTTGTTTGAATTAATTTAGCAAGTAAATTTGCATATGCACCACGTAAATGTGGATCACCATGTTCACGTACAGATAAAAGATGTAATACTTAAGCACAAGCAAAAAAGACATATAGGTGATTGATAGATTTTAATATATTACAAGTAACATAGAAATTGGAATTTCATTTTTCTCATTAAGCAATTTCATATCCCTTACAAAATTATATTTAATCAGAAACGTTCAAAGACTAAAGAAAAATTCCTTAGAAGATGCAATTGGTATCATAGTACAATGAAAAAAACGAACATCTCTTTCGTACGAAATATGAACAGAACTCATACTTCGGCTTAGAACTTTTTCTGATGTAGTTGTATGGTTCTATTATTTCAATCTCTGACGTATAGATATATAAATGCAGCCTGTGGACTTGAAAACTTTTGTATGTCTAACCTATTCAATAAAGTGTTCTACTTGATATCTTTTCGAATATGACCTTGTTCTAGTCTTTTATTGGTTTCAAAAAAAATTAAAAGTAGAAATAGGACTAGAACTGGTGAATCTATGTCGAGAATCTTCATTCTTGAATTTTCAGATTCCAGTGTATATGTTTCATATAATAGTGAAATTGTCATATCTATCAGTAAAACTTTGAGACTTTAACCAATTGGAGTGACATCAACTAAACTCTGCGACAAGCTCCTTCACCAGATTGATCCCATGCATCTAAGCTCTCGCGTACTGTTACAACATTAGAAATAATTTTGGATTATAAAAGAAATCTATTTTACTGAAGTGAAACTTTACAAAAAGAAGTTTTTAACAAACATTCAACATACTTTCAGTAAAGATAACCAAATGTATGGAATTGTTGATAAATACGATAAACATGGTAGTGTAGCATATTTCATACTAATCCGTGATTCATCATCACTTTTTATTATATCATTCATATTGAGGATATATCTAATCGGAAAAAAATATAATTGATTAACAAGTTTAGCAGCTGATGTTCGTTTTTCATTATTAATCATTGATGTTGAATCGAATTCATCATTCATTTTATTTACTAGAATAAGCTATTGTTTTAGAAAAGAAAAAATAAAATAAAATTCTTGTTTTTTTTTCTCAATATTTACCTGTTTTTAAGGCTCCACGAACACAAGTTTTTTCTATAGATTCAATTTAAATTGAAATTAATGATTGATTGAAATCAAATAAATTTGGATATTTAAGTATAATTTCAAGTGTTTCCAATGAACTTGATACAACATTATGATCATCATGTCGTAGACAAATACAACAAACCATATCAACACACTAAAAAAAGATTTACATTGAAATTAAAATCATTCATTATTTCTTGAATACTGATTGGAAGATGTTGATTTGTATCAATATTTTTACTTCTATTTATTGATTGTTGATTATTGGTTGATTATGACTGAAATTCTTAGATATTTAAATCAAGTAATTGAGGGTGTGGGTGAGGGTGTGTAGGTATAAGCAATACAAACACTCACACCTACCTCTCAAAATCTCTGAATCTTCTTAAAGCGCATTCGTCATACTTTCTTCGGATGCGTCTAATGAAGTTTGAGTGGTAAATAAAGTTTTTCATACATCGAACGATAAAGTAAAAAATATAAAATTTTTCATTTATTTATTTTCAAGCTTTCAACACTACTATGATTATCAATTTCAAAAAAAAAATTTACGATAGAAAATATTT